GTTGCCCTGCTGCATGATAGAGTGACTTGTAAGGAAAAAACATCATAAAAGAGTTGGGATATCCCTAAATTGCATCCCTACAAGAGACATGCCAAGCCCAGTCACAAAGATAGCCAATTGTACTTACCATAACCTACATAGAAAAAAACCTGAAAGATAGGCTAAAGTTTACAGACAAGAAAAAAATTTATGCTTCAGAAGCTCATCCCATATTCATTAATCCTAGGAAAAAACCCGTGCTTTGTATCATCACCAACCGCAAGATTGACATTTTCTACCGCTATGTACCCTTGCTGGAGCAGATTAGACATGACAACAAGATCAACGGAATACTGACCCTGAGTTGTTGTGGGAGATGTTACATTTTGTGTGGGACTGGTAACCATGTTGCGATTACTGCCAGTTCCAGCAGAAGCAGCATGGCTCGCAAGTGTCCGACAAAAACTTGCATAGCGTCTTAAGCGTGTGATAAAATGAGAAGCAAGATCAAGAACAGCATCCACATAAGCCTGTACAAGAACCATTAAAGGAATTAGACAACGGAAAATTTGGCAACAGGAAACTAAAACTAGTATATCAAAATAGTGATATGGTCTATTTCATATTCAATGATATGAGATCCAATGATCCATGATAAGAAGAATGCAATGATGACTTCACGGAAACCATCTCTAACAGAGTTCTATAACTCAAATTGTCTTCAGATAATGCAAAATAATCAAATCTAATACACATATAGTATGTGTTGGTTAATTATAGGCAGCAAGAAGTAAGGTACATCAGCAAAAGTAACACAGCAAAGACCAATAACTCTTTAAATGAAAGCACTGCAACCATTTCCTGGTTTTTATCCTTGAATTTCCATATTTCATAATAGAAAAGACCTGTAAGGCAATCCTCGAATTTAGAAGCAGCGATACCTGAATACTTGAAACAAGAGCAGGATCAACAGCCATTGCCTCAGGATTGATGCCTGATATTGTCTCCCCATCTGATCGCCATGGCTCAAAAACCAATGCAGAAGGGTTCACAAGAGCTGATTCAATTCCTTTTCCAAGCATGTCCAACAATAACCTTGCTTGCATATCTAAAACCATGGCACGAACCTCTTGAGCATTGGTTCCTTCAAGCAACCGACATTTAATCCTGTCTAGGTTCTGAAAACCATAAAAATACAAGTTTTTACCAAACAGCGAAACCAACCGAAACTGGAATGAAAGCAAAAACAATTTAAAAAACACAACGCATCACAAGGGGACAATAGACTGCCAAGATTTTGTTCAGCGTCTACTTAAATAATCCAAAATCAAATAACTCAGGCAGTTTGTTATTTTTTCTCTCTTTTTATAATGTATCTGTATAAAGCTACACTATCTTAGAGTCAGATGAAAAGTAGGGTCTACATTCGCACAGTTACATTATAAGAAAACCCAGAAAGCTATACCAAGTTTTCTGAAGAAATAAGCGATGGTACCCCAACTAAACTATTAAGACCTTTAAAAAGGAGAAAAGGTAATGAGTTACAGTACGAGTTTAGAAAAACATACAGGACCATATAGTTGTCTGTGCTGCGTTGAAGGGAGTGAGTGAAAATCAGCATCCATGACAGCAATCACGCTGTTCAGTGAAACTGAAATCATCAACAAA